TTTTATCTCGTGTATGTGCATGTGTATGTATGTAAATATATATGTATGGATGAATGAATGAATGTGTGGATATAATTTTTGACGACGATTTTGAGAACACGGATCAGCCGACTTGAATGATTCAAAAAAAAAAATTTGATTCTTATTGATAAAGAGACGTCCAAGATAGGTCCAGCCGTTTCAATGATATGGACAAAAGTGCCAAAAATTGAAATTCAGTGTTGGAAAGAATGAAGCATCCGATTTGAATGATTCAAAAAACATTTTACTGGTATTAACAAAATGAAGAACTGATTTGATTTTTGAGGCAGCAGGTCTAGCGATTACGGAGGACTAATAAAAAAAAGTAAAAAAAAAATGCCATAGCAATCATTAAACATATGCATTTCAAATTATCAGATATTTTATAGAGATTTTAGTAATAAGTATGAATAATTGTTTTTATTTCTATGGATTCTGTACCAATATTTATCAGATATACTGCCATGCGGCGCTTACGCGCTTCGATATTTTGTTTATAAAACAGCTACGCAGCCCGATTGCTTTAAATAAAAGTTCATGATATTCAAAAAATGTCAAAATATAAAAAAATTAACATTATTCAAAAAAGTTAATTTTTTTAGAAAGTTTCAAACTTCTCAAAAATCGATCTTTTCAGTTTACAAATTAAATTAGTTTACTTAAATTTTAATTTTCGGTACGGGAAGTCCCAGCAATTTGCCTTAAGGCACGATGCAATGCACCACTAGTTTATATTTATTTTTATAAATGCTCTTATATATTGAACACATAGTTTTGTTTACATATATAGAGTACATATAATTTTTTGTTTTCAAAATATGTTAGTAAAATCGTTCCATCTAAACATATTGAAATTTCATTTCGACTTTGAAATTGTTTCAGTTGATTTAACATTAGTTGAAACGTCCTGAAGATGTTTCTTTTTGTTAATTTTGGTATCTCGACGATTCAAGCCATTATGAATCGATTGAGGCCGTAATTGGAAAATGTATGTGTTTTCGGTGAAGCCGATTTTCTCATCGTTTTCTCAAAAAACTCAAAACCCATGCGATGAACGTCGATGAGCACTTGTTGGGCAGTTGTTCGATGCGATCGGTCGAGCCGTTTCTTTAGAATCATCAGAAAAGTGCAAAATCAGTGTACTTAGTTTCGTGGGGTAGCTCTTTTAGGACATACATGGTGGTGTGTTTATGCACTATAATTAATATAATTTTATATACATATTATAATTTTATTTAATAAATAACAATTGGAAATCGTATTGATTAGATTTTGCTGGAAAGCAAAATTTTCATTTTCCAAATAAGTCGTTAAAAATTTTACGTAATTAGCTATGTAATTATTATTAATATCATCATATCATTTTATATATCAGTTTAATATCAACTCTTATCGATTGTCGATTAATTAATACTAATAATTAATACTAATAATTACACGCATAGGGAAGTTTGTGAAACTTGCGTTAAGACAAAATGCCACTTACACCTAGTTATTACATATTGGAGTCAATTTGTATATTTACAAAACTCGTTTAAAATATCTACGAGTTTGTAATTAATTTTTATTGTTTGTGACATTGATATGACATTACACAAGTTTTGTTCATAAAAGTTGATACACACTTTGTATATGATTTCATATACATATATCTGTTGATTATTTATATATCTGCAATGGAAACCACAAGCGGTTTGGAGAAGATAATTAAATTAATCATGAGCAGAATATTAAACATGAAAAATCAATAGGACATCTAAAAATATTTCTTTTAATGCGGTTAGCACAATAATCCAATATGTTGGAAAAATCAATAAAATATTTTGTCATATCAAGTTTGTATTTTGGTAAATAAGATTATCTAAAAGGTTGAATAAACTTTCTTTATACTTTTCTGGTACTTGTAAAAGTATTTGCAACTTCAGGCTTATTTTATTTTCAATTTTTAATAATAATATTCCTATTGATTAAGATAAATGCTTTGTTGATATTTTATATTCAAAATATTTTTTAAATATTTTTTATGAAAGTATAAATATACATACATAAAAACAATTGTTTTTGAACATTGTGAGATAATACTTTCTTTTCAAGAAAGTTATTATCATAACATTTCAATTTCCTTGACTTTACTATTTGCTGTCGTCTATCATAACAATAAATTCTGAAGTTATAAATAATTAATGAAGTGTAACAACATATCTTATCAGTATATGAATTAATTACAAATAATTTTTTCATTTATTTTTATTTGCATACAATTTGTTTTTATAATGAATTTGCTATAAACTCAAAGTTTGTAAAATTAATTTGGATGCAAATACTTGTATATAGTATTAACTAAAAATAAGTAAATGCGAGAAAAATCCTACATGGAGTTCTATATATTAATAATATACACATTTACTTATTCAATCAGCATGTTCTATAATCATAACTTACAATTATATACATATCAATAAGATATACATTTATCTTTTCATTCAGTATGTATTATAATCAAATAAATAAAAGCGTACTAGACTAAATATAAGTAGCCATATATATAGAACGCACTCTGATTTTTAATTGAGATTCTTTAATTAACATTCAATCAGTAATCATATATTATATCATACAATATACTAAAATTGTATAAATTAAATATAATAAAGTAAATTGTATTAACTAAATATAATAAAGAAATTGTATTAAACTGAAATAAATATTATTTTTATATAAAACCTATGTTATAAAAATATAACTATGGAATTACTTGGAATGGTTTGATGATTTATATTATTCATGCCATAACTTTATACAGCTTTTGCTCAATTTAACTTAATCATTAATATTTGATATTATTCCATTTGTAAAAATTAAGAAATATGTAATTCAGAAACAAGTTGTTGGTTCTTTTTTGACCTCGGATTATGTTTCTATATAAAATTTGTATATATTTTTTTTGACTTGGCAAGAAATGATTTGGTTCATCATTCCAATCATTCCAAAACCATTCCAAACTTCCAGAATCATTCCAAACTAATAAATAATCTAATATCAAATATCTCAGAGAATAAAATGCATTCTTTGGAATCTGACGAGCATATTGTATTACAATTTCAGAACTACCTATTGCCTAATTAATTTGGATCTGTAATTATAAAATTAAAATGCATATATATGGGCTTAATTTTATAATGGCATAGGTTTTCAAATTATTCCAATAAATGAATTGATTATTATTTTCATACTTCCATTCATTTATCATATATTAGGTGGTAATTATTGAATTAAAGATTTGGTAATAAAAATTTCTTTCATTCCAGATGATGTGGACATGGGTGCTCTGGTTACAATTTGTACACTGGCCATAACATTAATGATGTTATATGGAGCAGTTAAACAAAAGCCTGCACATATTTTGCCATTCTTCTGCTTGCAACTATTTGATTTTGCCATAACTACGTAAGTATTTTCAATAAAATTTTTATCAAATGAAACTTTATTTGAACTTTAAACCACAATAATAAAAATAGTCTAATTTAATCGCGCAAGTTTCTTTGATATTCAAGCATTTTGGGTAACATTCTTAATTAAAACTGAATAAATGGTTTTAGTTTAGTCAAGTTTTATCAGTAGCAATCTAAATAACTCAGTAAGAGTCTAAATAAATAACTAATTAAAAATATTTATAATTTAATATTCCCAAGCAATTGATATTCTATTTTTACAAATAGTTGTACATATGTTGCAGCAAATATTTTTTCAAGAAAAGTAAAATTACAAATAGAAATAAAATATAATTTTCATTCCACATTCGCAAACAACTAATACACATTTGCAATAAATTAATAATTATGTTTGTTGTCTTTGTGAGTTGCATGTTGATTTTAAAAATACTTGTACTGCAATGGATTTTGATGATGATTTTTAATTTCCTAAATACACATCAAACTTTAATTATTACAATTGTATGAGAGCTAGATAATAATAAGTTTTAACATTATCATTTTATTACAGACTTACTGCAACAGGATATTTGTGTTATTTGCGCAGTGTTCATAGATTGGTATCAGAAAGTCGTCATTTACCAATGAGAGAAGAACTTTTGAAACTAAGCCCACAAACACTCAGTTTATTGGTTCTAGTTGGATTTATTTGCGTTATGCTATTCAAGGTGATTAATTTATAATAATAATAATAATAATAATAATGGGTAGTACTGCCCTAAGGCAGGTCTGTAAGATGAGTTAAACTCCAACTCAATTCAGGGAAGAAGGGAAGAAGAGTTTTTCTCATTTCCATTTCACACCGCACTGCCGGCTAATTTTTAATTGAAAACATATTTTGGTCTATATTTTTAAGTGAAAATAGACATTGCGCTGCCTGATGGATTAATTGATATTTAAAATTAAATTAAATATATACAATTACAAATTAAGACAATATAGAATTAACTATATATTTAAATCAATCAGACATAAAACAATTTTTATTAAATTGAAATAAATCAGTTGATAAATTGAATATATTACTTTACTTTAGTAATATATTCAATTTATCAACTGATTTATTTCAATTTAATAAAAATTGTTTTATGTCTGATTGATTTAAATATATAGCTAATTCTATATTGTCTTAATTTGTAATTGTATATATTTAATTTAATTTTAAATATCAATTAATTAAAGGTAAAATTAGTAATTTTAGTTAAAATAGTTATGCATTTATAATTGTGAAGTACTAGAACTCATAAAATATTAGATATTTATGGTAATTAAAATACCTTAATCAGCTCAGGTAAAAAGTTACATGATTTCATGAAATTCTTTCGTTATGAAATTTTTAAAGCCTATAATTATATAATAAAATCTCATCTGCTAATAGATAATTCTACCAGCCAGTCTATTTATCAGACAGTCTATTTATATATTCCAAGAGTAACTATTACAAAGACAAAAAATTTAACAATTTTTTGTTGTTGTACTGAACTTTGGTGTATTGGTGAGCCTATTTTTTTCAATTATTGAATTTATTTCTAAATTTTTCTGTTTTGTGTTTTATTTTTTAGGCTTACTGCATTGGCGTAGTCTGGAGATGTTACAAATATTTAACAATGCGTCAACATGCTCTCAAGACTTTATTGCCCTATGTTATTCCTGATCCTACAACTACTTCCAATCTCGATGCTACTTTGAACCCTAATGACATCAATGCCACTCGTACAGCTATGATGATGAATTGTGAACCAGCTTACAGCTCCCTTTTGCCTGATTATGAAGAGGCTGTCAAACAATCCCAGGATATTCCACCAAGTTATCAAGCTGCTGTTGCTAGCGCTGGGTTAATTGAAAAAGAGGTATAATTTTTTTTGTGATATAATCTGATGTTCCTGAAATTACATAATTCTTTTTTATTTGCTCATTACTTTCTAAATGTAGACAATGATTAGTCTCATGAAATCACTAAATCTATATACATGATGACTATTCACAAATATATAAATTTATAAACATATTTTATGCTACAAATTTATTTTTGGACAAGATACAAAAGATAATTGTGTCAAATTGAACCATTTTGGAAAATTTGTATTTTAAGTTGTTTAATCAAAATATTTTCTTTACCATAGGCTGCTGCTTCTTCTGCTGATGCAACTGAGGAAACGAATAAGCCAGAGACTGAGGTAATTAAACAATAAAAAAGCTATCATTTTAATTTAATAGATATTACAAATACCATTATTCAACAGCCCGCCAAGACACCTGAACCGGAAACTACCACAAAAAGTGAACCCCATAATGTGTAAAGTAAAAAATTAATTTTAAATCAACTGAAATAAATTGCATAACCGAATTGAAATTTTCATCTGCATATGCATAGATGGCAATTAGCTGACAGACATATTTTGAAAATATAACTACATATATGTATTAAACAATATATAAGGGCATATATATATATATATATATATATATATATATATATATATATATATATATATATCTGAATTAGTTTTAGTTGGAGATATATATGATGTTTTATTAAATTAAATTGTATCTATATGAATTAATGGAGGTGTGCGATATTTTTTTAAATTATTAACTACTATTTGAAATAGTCACAAATTACCATAAATAGTTTGAAGAAGGAAATATCACTTCTAAAGTAGATACTTCTACAGATGATGCTAAAATTAAAAGTGAAATAATTTTAGATATATTTCTGATTTTAATTGGAAAATGGAATATTTAGATATTGTTGATAAAATATGCATAGTATTAAGTGTTAGTATATCACAGTTCTTTATATATTTGTCAATCTTGGATTTTTTTTTTTTGACTTTGATCTTTATAAAATAACAATTTTGCCAATAGTTATTGCCTGGCCGAAATAAACTTTTTTATTTGATCTTTATTAGTCTAATAAATAGATTTCAAAGATATTTCAATACATCATTCCAACAATTCTAAAATTATGATAGATGTTTTTAGGAATAATATAAAATTTTTAATTTTTTTTTAGAAATTTACTGAAACAGAATACTTTAGATTAATTATTATATACAGTAAACAATCTTGATGTGATAGTTTATTTTTGAGCAATATATTTATCTCTTAGGCAAAATATTATTTTATGCATAACTGTACATTTATTATCAATAAAAAATATAATATGACCACAAATATATAAATTACAAAGTATTAATCATCAGTTCCATTGCCACTTCCATATATCCAGGCCTGGATTTCTGATTCTTAATCAGTTTGTTCTTCAAGATTTAATTTTGATAGATTTGTTGCAGTGTGGATGCAGATAGTTACAACATTAATCTTTCCTTATTGAAGTAAATCATCCAACCAATTTTCAAGATTAGACCTGCTGTTCAAAGTATTAATTTTTGGAATATTCAATGCTGGTTCTTCAACAATATCAACTACATCCACATTATTGCTCAAGTCATTAGCAGGTGCTTTCAAATCTAATAATTCATCTAAATCATCTTCAACTGTATTATTTATTTGGATGCTTTCACCTGGTTCTATGGTAAGCTCTTGAGAGTTTAAGATATAATTTGATTTATCTGAATCAAGTAAAAGCTTTGACATTTTCTCAACGCAGTCTCTTTCAAATGTAGTGCACTTGCTATCCATAGTTTTTATTTCATCTTTAGTGAAAAGATTTTTATCCAACTGGTGCCTTACATAGAAAGGTAATGTTTCCAAATTTTTAGCTAGTTTATTTATATTTAGACTAAAATATTCACGATATTCATTGGTAATGTCAACTTGCATATTCTTTTCAGACTTAAATTGAAAATGGCCACCTGTTGATATTGGAGCATTCATTAAATTTTCAAAATTTGTGGAAATACTTGTATCTTCTTCAAGTGGTGATTCATATTTAGACCAGTTGCTTTGAATTTCGCGTTTTTTAAATTTATCTACAGGAGTTTGAGATATTTCTAGTACACCCTGTGAATATTGAGATGTGGGAGAAGATTCAAGTTGGGGATCTGCTGTTCCAGTTTTGGCGGATGGATTTGCCTCTTTGTCATGCTTTGAAGGGTTTTGAGACTCTGATTTTTGTTTATGTTTTGATTTACCACCATGATCCTTTCTAGTAATTAAAGAAAATTGTTAGATTAAAACTTAAGAAGTTAATTGCAATATTTTATAACAATTTATGGATGAGAAGTTGGTAACCGGAGTGAACCATCGCACAAATCAGGGCAATCTGAGATACGGTGAGGATATGATGAGTTTTCCCCAAATAACATAGCGAAACTGGAATCATTATAATATTTATACACCTTTATATGTCAGCAAAAAATCTGTATTGGCTCTAAAGATGTTTCATGTTTTATGAAAACAGAGTGGAAGGTGGGACATCTATTTTATTTAAATAATGAAAAAATAATATAAAAAAATGTAAAGATAAATGCGGTAAGTAGGATGTAAACCAATTGAAAGTAATGAAAAAAATTAAAAATGTTAAGATATATTTGGAATGCTCCACTCTGGTTACCAACTCTTCATATATACGTTTTAATAATAAGATATTGCCAATAATTGAATTTTTAATATTTTTTAATTTCAATTTCAGTTGCAACTATATAATAAAACATCAAGTAACAGTAGATTATTTGTTTTAAAATAAATGATAGTGTTTCCATTAAGATACGACAATGCAAAATTGTAAATTGTATTCCTGGACAAAATATTCGTAATAAAATTGTACTAGTCAAAATTGACTAATGTAACTAGGAAGTTTTATTAGCAGTTGTAACTCAAATTGAAATTATTATTATAATATTTAATAAATAGTATTTTTCAAAATCAGACTAAAGTCAAATTTCTATAGTTACTATAAAAAAATATTACTAATATTTGGTTTATCAACGTCTTAAGTTTGGGTATCAATAAGATATCTGTTAGTTAGAAAAAATTAACATGTTTGTTAGAAATAGAATTTTGAATAATTTTTTTTTAAAAAAAAAGCCAATTTAAGGCATATACATTACTTATTTGATACTTTTTAAAACATTCTACAGTAAGAATCCAGACCTAACCTCTTTTTTGCTGATTTATCCATAATTTTTTGTAAAATTGTGTGACTTGATAATCAAACCTGCTAAATTATTCTGGTAATTTTTAAGCTTAATTTTTGAATGGTATAAGTAAAAAGTTCAACATTTTTCAAAATATATCTGTATGTAATAATTTAAGTTAAATATCCGTTACTGTAATATTTTTATACAAATCTGAATCATTTTTGACATATGCAGAAAAAGTTAGGTTATGTATGCCAAACGTCAAAAAAACTTGGAAAATACGAAATAAATTAGAAAATTGGAAAATACGAAATAAATTAGATTTAAATGCATATGTTATAATACTTTCGTGGTTTATATATATCAAATAAAGTGAAGAAATTAATTTAAAGATCATCAACGCCAACCATCAAGATATTCTACTAGAAAATAACCTGAAAAATACATGGAAATAAATACTTTAATACGTAATACCACTTTTATCTTCTAGTACTTTCATTCACTTACTTCTAAAGATGAATAAAATAACATTATTGTGTAGAAGTACATTAGTCAATCAATTTATCAAATCATCTATAATTGGCAATGTATCAATAATCACAAAATCTTTTTGTTCAAACCCTAATTTTAAACCATTTGAAAATAACACGCAATTAGACGATTCTACAGAAAGAATTGTAAATGTTGCTGTTATTGGTTTGCCAAATGCTGGTAAAAGTACTTTGATCAATAATCTTATTGATCGCAAGGTAACTATTATTAAATTATCTTACTATATTACCTTATTACTATCTTATATTACGAAGACTACATTTATTATCCTCTAAATGTTTTTATTGTTAGGTTTGTGCTGCCTCGAGTAAAGTGCACACTACGAGAAAAGTTGCCAAAGGAATTTGTACAGAAGGCAATACACAAATTGTATTCCTCGATACACCAGGATTAGTCACAAAGCAAGAGAAAAACAGGTGATATTGAGATAATATTCTTTGATTTTTAAATTTATAAGATTACCATTTTTACAACCAAACTGTTTGTAATAATATTTAATTAAAACATAGTTATAGAGAATGTGATAGTTGGGTGAAAATCTAGGGTCATCATAAAACAATAAACTAAAGAAAATTGGTCTAAAAAGTTAGGGATGGCAATCCTTAATAAATTTAAAGTATTCTTTGAAGAAAAATTTAAGTCTTTCTGTATGCTCTGGAAAACCTTAATCGAGGTTCAGTGAAAAATGTTCACGAAACAGACAATATTTGACCAAAAATACTTGAATTACTAAAATGACTTTTACAAAATAGGGTGTATTAGAAGTAATTCAATTCTCTATTATAAAAAGCTAAAATAAATACAATTGGTTAAAAAAATTTAGAAAATGTGTTAGGGGTGGTCAATCTTTAATAATAAAAATATTTTTTAAAGTAAAGTTAAAGTTTAAGCTTAAGTAATTATGTTGAATGAAAACTGACAAAAAATATTCTTAAAATAGAATAGAATAGTATCTTCTAATTTATTTTAAAAGATCAGAAATAATCTTACTTAAACTCTTTGATAATTTTATAAAGAATTATAAATTATGCCTCATTTTTTGAGTAAAATCATTCATGAATGCAAAAAATTCACCTTGGTGTCTCATCAATATTGTAAGAAATTAAATAAAAATTTTATGAATATATTATAACCATATTATAACTATAAAATTTATTATTTTCTGTTATTATTATTTCTTCATATTTTTGCCAAAAGAGTAATTACATACATAGAAACTACTAACCATCATTAAAACAATTCTCATCTTTGTAAATCATTTTCTACATATTTAGATTTGTAAGATATCTTATAATGTAAGAAGTAATCTTTCATTATAGATTGAATTAAAAAATTAATGAATTTTTTACATTTTAGATATCAGTTAGAGGAATCATTTGTTAACTCTTTCAAATCATGTATGGAAGCGGCTGATGTTGTTTGCGTTGTTCAAGATGCTAGTAATCACTGGACTAGAGACAAATTACACAATAAAATTAGAAAGCTTCTCGATAGATTTTCAAATGTTCCTAGCGTTTTGGTATTAAACAAAATAGATTTACTAAAATCTAAACGAGTATTGCTAGACTTAGTGAGGAATTTAACTGAGGGAAAGTTGTCGGATAGACATCATAAAGATGAAAGTCCTGTTGATTTTGATCTTGATTATTCAGAAAATAATGGTTAGTGAATGATTTTGAAAGAAATATAATTTATTATCAATACCTTTATATATTTTATTTGTTGATAGATGATAAACTAGAACCATTAGATAATGAAAAGAAGAAAGGTTGGCCTAAATTCACTAATGTTTTTATGGTTTCTTCAATTGAACACACAGGATTAGAAGAGCTCAAGGTAAGGAATTGTGATTTAATTTATATAATTGTAAGATACATTACACAATCTATAAAAGATTTTTTATAAAGTTTATTGAATTTTGAAAGACTTGTTTGTAACTATATATAAGTTTCTAATAATAATTATTTTAGCAAATATAAGTACTAATATTTGCTCAATTCTTAAGTATTTAATTACCATTGAACATTAAACTTTGGACATTGAACAGTAATATCAAAAAAGTTCAATGTGGATTTTATGACTGTAACAAAATCAAAGTATTCAATTAACATAACTTTTTGGTTTATTTTATATAGGAATATCTCACAGCATTGTCTAGACCATGTCCATGGATTTACAGCCCATTACAAAATTCAGATTTATCAAATGATAAAATAATAACAGAGGCAGTACGTGCTAAACTTTTAGATTTCATGCCCCAAGAAATTCCATATAAGTTAAAAGCAGAACTTGAATTGTATGAGGAAAGCGAAGAAGGTAACATAATATATATAGGATTTAAAATGCTATTCTGAAAATGTTTTGGGAATAATTAATAAATTAACTGTTTTAATTGTCAATTCAGGTATAATCACAGCTTCTGTAGTAGTTACTTGTCCAAGTGAAAGGATAAGAAAATTATTAGAAGGTTCTGCAGGAGGTAAACTTAGACAAATTACAAATTATGTAACAGCAGATCTGCGAGAAGCATTCTATCAACCTGTTAATTTAATTATATCTACTGCTGTAACTCCAAATTAATTGTATATTTTATAACAATATAAATCTATGAATGGGATAAACGTAATATAATGAAATAAAATTATCAAACTAATATCAATTATGGTCAAAAGTGTTAATCTTCTCTGGGTGTGTATCCAATTAATGACAAACTCATATTTGCCATATTTGGACATCAAGAACTCTAATTAATTCTATAACTAATCATGTTAATAAATAAAAAAATACAAGGTAATATATGTAAATAATATTTAAATTATATTATATATATTGGCTTATTCAAATTTTATATAACAATATTTTACATTAGAAAATACAAAATAAGTGTAAAATATTTCAATTTAAATTTTCGCGCCACTTTTCTCAAACTGTGGAAACTCAGCTCATGATTTCAATATGGCGTTCTTATGTCATGTTTAGCAATTTCAAATGAAGGGAAGAAATTTGCTTAGCTGGGGGTAGAATATATTTAGATTATAAAAGACCCTTGTTTACCTTTGTGTACGTGTTTTTCAAAAGCTGGAATAAAATTAATTATATTCTGTCAACTGTGTTATTCTTTTTCGGATAAGTAATATTAAAATGTTTCCGGCGTCAAACAGGTTAGATTCGATTGTCTAAAATCGACTGCTGAAATATTAATTCGCGTTGAAAACAGTGACAGAAGGTATGTTGAATATTATAATAATTTATTTTTAATCACTATGTGTAATAGTATTAGGTTATATATATATTTTTGATGACATTAAACTTTTGAGGGGGTGCATTTTGAAAGGTACTAGTAACATATTAATGCACTTTTCTTGTTAGTATATTGTTAATTATCTGCACTTAGAATACAAGAAGAGCTTATTGCGTTTAAAATAATTAAGAGTTAATCTATATATAAATGTCAAGGATTTTTACAGTATTGTGTAATTTACAAACAAAATTAATTAGTGTTTTTAGTCTTATGTGCCAGTATCAATAAGACCGTACTCACATTGTTTTAAACAAAATAATTAACAGTAATGTAAATGAATCTGATAAGTTTATAAAATTAACAAGAAATGAATATGTTTATGTATTTGATACAAGTAATCTAACGAGAGGGCAAGTTATAGTTTTCATCAGTATATACTAGGAAGCAAATTATTCATCTATTTTTTTTTAATATAGCAAGTAAAAGGTAAAAACACAATATGTATCAGTCACAAGATGTTTTATAATATTCTGTCAGAATTATGAATATACAGCAGTATTTTAATAACAATGTTTTTTAATGTTTTTTATGTATTTGGTACAAGTAATCTAACAAGAGGGCAAGTTATTGGTTTCATTATATACTAAGAATCAAATTATTCTACTATTTCTTTCAAATACCAAGTAAAAGGTAAAAACTCAATTTTATGTCAGTCACGAGATTTTTTATAATATCTTGTTTGATTTATGAATAAATTGCAGTATTTTTTATGTAAGACAATAACAGAGTACAGTTTTTTTTTGCTTTTGAATGCAGAAACATTATATCATTTCCTTTTAATTTCTGTAACTTATATTAAGGACTAAGTATACAATTATTTAAAATCCATAATAAGTTTTGAGAGTCCAGCAAAAGGAATGAGAGAAGATTAACAGTCAATATATATCATAAAGAAAATAGTTGTTTTTATCCCGTTTTGTACGGTGATGGGATAAATAATTAATTAATAAAAGTGATCTTTACCCATTCTTTACCAATGTGAATGAAATATACTACTCTCTATATTTGCATTAACTTTATTTCATAGATTAGTTCTAAATTACAGATGTTTGGAAACTGTGCTTTGTTATCAGTGTATATTAACAAAAAATTAGGATGAAAAAATTTTGATGAAATATTGAATATGTGAATCTATGTGTGGATATTTAGGATTCAATTACCTGAGATCTTAATTCAATTCAATTACCTAAGATATTAATGAAAATTATTAATGAGGTTTATATAATAATAAATAAATAAATAGAATGATGAAGAGATTAAAATAAATAAAAAATATTATAAATTATTAATAAATATATAATAAATTAATCTGTTTTTATATTTGTTGATTTTAGTATACGATCGTGCACTCCATTTGTTTACATTATAATAATACCCATCCTGTCTCTTCATCTCGATACTTAAGATTTGTTTAAAATATTTCTGTATCTATTCAAATGTTTTAGTACTGTGCCAAGCTCTGCAAGTGATAGTTGGTGTTTTCTGTATTTTCAAAAAATTAAATGTAATTTAAATAAAATATTAAAGCATGTGCAGTATATAAGTAACTGTTTTGAAATTACACTGAAGATGAGGCATACCATGGTCTCGAAACCTCTGTAATTACCAAATAAATACCAAAAATCTGAGTGTTGTATTGTTAATAATTAACATGTAATATTCGTTCTACTCATATAACAAAATTCTATATATCTATTATTATAAACTCTGAAGAAAGAGAAACTTTTAATATAGAAAAATGAGAAGTATTAAATTAGTGAAAGTAATTAAAGTATAGCTTATTCATGAAATAAACAATAGGGTAAAAATATTAAGCCTTAATAAGAATTATATAATTAGATGAATTCAGCCTTAATAAGATTTATATATAATAGCCTTAATAAGAATTATATAATAAGATGAATTCAGCCTTAATAAGATTTATATATTATGATGAATAGTCTGTAACTTAGAACTTTGTGACTCTTATCTATATAAACAATTCTTCTGACACATAAATTTCATACATATATATATATATATAATATATATATATAATATATATATATATGTAATTAATCATTTCTGGCATGTTGTTCCCTCATGTTTATGTTTATAGTAGCTACATACCCATTGGAATAAACATACACTTATTCCTGTTGAGTAACAAAACATTACAAATTGCATTAAGATTACATCATAATTAAGTGCAGATTCTATCTTGAATTTATTTTACATTTTATTTTTATTTAACATTTGTACCATTTATTTTTTATTATTATTTTTGATCCACATTGCTTATTGTTAGACAGTAAGATTGTTAGTCATATTTTGTTATATTATTCTTTCAGTAGTTAAAATTTCATTTATTATCCATATAGATAATTTACTATGGGTGTGTACCGAGGCGGTAGTGGTGGTAACAAAAGAACAGTAAGGATCCTCCTGGTTGGTGATCCTGGAGTGGGAAAGACTTCTTTAATTTTATCGCTAGTCAGTGAAGAATTTCCTGAAGAAGTTCCCCCAAAATGTGAAGAAATTACAATACCTGCAGATGTGACTCCAGAGCAAGTTCCAACCAATATTGTGGACTATAATGGTAACATGATAAGATTATTTTAGTTTTTATAATAAAAATTCAAGAGCTTTTTAACAAATTTTTATAAATCACAATTTGATGAATTCTACCTGGTTGCTGCTTTAAAGACTTCCAAAAATGTCTATGGGAATATTGTTTTCCACTAATTACTTCAGTTAATTATAAAATACAACTAAATTAAGATAACTCTATTCTAATATAAGTTCATTATAAGTAACATATAACAACAAAGTTATTTTTATTTTAGTAGTTTTTTTTGTTTTAACTGCTTGAACATATAATCACTTAATTCTGTAATTATCTAGTGAATTAATTGAATTCTGTTTATAATTTTAGCGGCAGAGCAATCAGATGAAAGTTTGGAAGCTGAAATGCGTAAAGCCCATGTGGTATGCGTAGTATATTCAGCACCCGATAAAGAATGTTTGGATAGAGTGATATCTCATTGGTTACCGTTAATACGAGAATGCTGTTCAGAACCTAGAGATAATGATGACAGTGGAAATAGCTCACATGCTACAAAGCCAGTTGTGCTCGTTGGGAATAAAGTTGATTTGGTTGAAACTAGTACGATTGATGTAAGTTTTAGTAAATTAAATTCTTGTATAAGAATACCGTAATTGTGTTATTTAGTCAAACTTTTTTGTTACATTATTATACAGTTAATAGAATAAAATTTTTATAAGATTAAGATTTTTAGAAGATGTTGCTAAATTGCTTATATTTAAATTTAATTAAAAATTATATTTTATTTGTGTCACTAAAATGATTTAAATATTTTTTTATGATTTTTTTTTAGAATACATTCATAAATAGGTAATCATAATCTGTGATTATAAATTATTCTTTACTGTTGCAATACAAAACTTTTAAATTTTTAATAAATAAAAAAAATGGAATTAAAGAACAATTATGGTATTAATTGTAGTTATTTATTCTTTTCATAGAATGTTGTCACAATTATGGAAGACTTCCCAGAAGTTGAAAGTTGCATTGAGTGTTCTGCAAAAACGCTCAAGAATATTTCAGAGATGTTTTATTATGCTCAAAAAGCAGTTTTGCATCCTACATCACCTTTATTTGTCATGGAAAATCAAGACGTAAGTATTTTGTAATGCAGTGTTAGTTCGTGGTATTGATTTATATTGTTGTTATATTTTAGTTAACAGAACCGTGCAAACAAGCTTTAATAAGGATATTCAAAGTTTGTGATATTGATGGTGATGGGATTATTAAATGATTATGAATTGAATCATTTTCAAAGAAGGTGCTTCAATGCTCCTTTGCAACCACAGGTATGACAAGTGATATCAAATTCAGATGTAATAGAATTCAATCAGTTTAATGATAATTAAAAACAAGAATTTTGTTGATAACTCGAAAGTTAGCTAAATGAAATCAGCATTTATTATATGAACAACACTGGACCATATAATATTACATTTACCTAATTTCTGCATACTTGCCTAATAAAACTACCACTTTCATTTCATCAAAACAATTTGAATTAATTTTTTATTTATGTATCTATTTTTTTATTGTTTTCTAAGAGATTTTTTCTGAATATATTTCTAGGTTTTAGATGAAGTCAAAGCAGTCTTACAACATAATGTACCAAACGGTATAGAAAATGATTCTGTAACATTAAAAGGCTTTTTGTTCTTACATATCCTATTTATACAAAAGGGGTAGAAATGAGACCACTTGGGCTGTGCTTAGAAAGTTTGGGTATGATGAAAATTTGGAAGTCAGCCGTGAATATTTATATCCACAGTGAGTAAAGACTACTTTATTTATTTTGTCAGATTTCATAAATCGAAAAGGGGTTTTGAATTTCTGTTAATATATCTCATAAATCATATATCAATATTAACATGGTGGAAAGACTTTTTTTTTTCAATTTTATAATTACATAATATAGATAGTTTTTTATTTTAGAATCTTAAAATTTATACATATATTGATACCTAGTAATATTTTATTATTATTTATTTATTATTCATTATATCAACTTATATTAAAACACATAGTTCTATAAAAAGAATTCTATACTAAATTACATATAATTTGAATAACAAATATTTACGCAATGAACTTATTTAAAGTTTATGTGGCAATTCTGCCATAACAGAGTTCATTACATAGTTGTCATGGCAATGCTATCTTATACTTTGTACTAAAAACTATGAAAATGTTTATCTATTTGCTGTGTGATCAGGCGTATTTTATATATTTCAAGCAAGGAAGAATTTTATGATAACAGAATCTTAGAAAATGCTGTTATAATGACATTCTTTCTTGCTTGTTTATATGTAAAATATGCCTTATTGCAACTAGATAGACATTTTCACAGTTTTCACTATAAAGAAAAAAAGCATAAGATAACATTGCCACGACAACACTATGTTATGAGCTCTGTTACGGCAGAATTGCCTTAATAGTTTAAAGAAGATAGCGCAATGTTACTTTATAAAGTTTCTTATTTACTAATTCTCTAATACTTAATGGCAATTTGTTGAATAGCATAATACCTCAGTCCATCTAAACTCTAAAATATTAAATCATGAAGTGAGTTTTAATGTGGGACCTTTATCAAGTTTATGTCTTATGTTGTAATAATTAGATTTGGGATTTGAACCTAAATTAAACAGATTGGCGTTAACTTTTACATTATAATGGGTAATTTGGAGAAAAATGCAAGAACGGTTAAGATCTTGTGCTCGTGGAACTAAGATTGACAAGATGTAATAGTAGATAGGCAAACATAATTCTGATTGTTTTTTGTAATTGAAATACTGAGTAAGTAAAAGTGAAAAGCCCCGAAATTGAATTCCGTAAAATACTGGACAAAAGAAATAATGAACTGTAAATTGGCCCTTTTTGTTTACTTTTATTTTTAAACTATGAAGCATAAAACAGATTTTTGATCATTTTGGAATGAAAGTGTGCATAAGGTGAAAATCTTCTTTCAAATTGTTACTTATATTTGTTCAAAGAAATTTAGTATTATTCAGAAATCTTTAGTATTATTAAAAAGGTGTTATTATTAATGATGTGCTCAGAAATATCATGATAAATTTTATTTGTACTATAAAAAAAAATTTGTTTTATTATCATTCATCTCAAGATTGTTAATGTAAAAATAAATGTTTATAGGATTTTTTTTTGAATTATTAACCAAATAAATACATTCTTATTTGTAGTAGATAATATAATTTCCAAGTCTCTGAAAAATTTTCTTCAATCATGAATATTCTAAATTTGTCTTCTCAACCAATTTTATTAATGGTTTTCACATTTGTTACATATAATTATTTTTTAGCCACATTATGATTAACTTAGTGTTATGTTGCATGTTTAGTACAGATTCTAAGAATTTGAGAGTTGTTGAACTTTCATAATCTTTAATTTAACAATGTTATTCACTGTATGATGTTATCTATAGATATATAAAATATTACAATAAAGAAAACTAAGAGAAAATGTAGTTTAACAAGTTTTTAACCTTTAATGAAGCAAGTTTTATTCTTTGATTATTACAGTCACTCATGTTTTAGATTTCTTATAAAGGTGTCTATTTATTTCTAATATATTTTTTATATTTTAGGCTAAAAGTGCCATCAACATCTTCTACTGAATTATCCCACAGGGGATCTCGATTTCTTTCACATTTATTTGATAGACATGATAAAGATAGAGACGGAGCACTCTCGCCAAAAGAATTAGCGAATGTATTTAGTGCATGTCCTAATGGTTTGTCACCTTGGGCTAATGGAAGGAATTCTTGTGATATTGTACCAACGAATGAAATGGTAAGTTGTAGATAATGATAATGATATGATAATGATCTATTTTTTTTTTAAATCTTTATTTATTACCGAATTGTATTCTCTTTTAGGGTTGGTTAACACATCATGGATGGCTTTGTCATTGGACTTTATTATGTTTAACAAACCACTTAAAATATCTTGAATATCTTGCATATCTTGGATACAATATTCATGAAAATGACTCACAATTAACAGCTATACAAGGTAAATTATTTTATCATATTTTATTTGATAATTAAATGATGAAATTATTATATGATGATTATTAAAATTTATTAGTTATTTAATACAATAATGGGAAATTAAACCATTAGTGCAATGCTAATTAAAATCACAAATATTTTCTTAGACATTTTGATCAACTTACTTTTATGAAAGATTATAGAGAAGCATCATTAAACTGTTATGATAATATTGTTTTAATAGATAACATAATTCATCTCAGAATGGTATATGTAATTCACTTTTATTTTCTTTATAATTCTACTGAATTAAGAATTAATAAGAATAGAATTTAAAAGCTATCAAAAAGATTTTTTGTGTTACTTTAATTTAATTTTCATTTTTTTTTTTTTTTTTTTTAGTAACTAGAGAGAAACGATTAGATTTAGCAAAGAAACAAACATCGAGAAATGTTTTCACTTGTCATGTTATTGGACCACAGGGCTCTGGAAAAACTGTATTTTGCCAAAGTTTTATCAAAGATGATCCTCAGGTATTGTATATTATATTTCTTTGTTAATGTAAGCAAATCATTCAATTTAATAATTAACATAAAAAATTAATTAATATAACCACTAGGTGTAAGTGGCACTTTGCCTTAATGCAATTTGTGTGAATCTCTTGGCATGTGTAAATAAATAACTTCTTGATAAGATTAAAATATTTAACTCAGTCAAAATGAAATCAATATATTAATTTATGAATGATAGTGTCCCCCTTGGGTTAAAAAGGTCACCCACCCTTGATTTTGATCAATTTGTGTCTGTACTAATTTATCCACATAATTACCACATAATATTATTAAATTAATTTATATTGCATATGTATATAATTTTTACCAGGTCTTAAACTCCAAATCTCGAAAATCCAAATCAAAATCGAAGATATTACCCTCAACAGCATCAGGAGAAGAGAAAGTGTTTGATGAGTCGCCACGATATTGTGTAAATACTGTTCAAGTTTATGGACAAGAGAAATTTTTAGTATTACGGGATGTTGAAGTCAGACAGTTAACAGATCCTTTGATGCCTGATGAAGTGAATTGTGATGTTGCCTGTTTGCTTTATGACACCTGTGATGATAAGTCATTTGAGTACATTGCTAGAATTTACATCGTAAGTTTATTTTGTATAAAAGAATCATGATTTTTTAACTTATGATACACACTTCTATTAATTTAACTATTTTTATTATTTAACTATTTATTCACAGTTAAAATTAGACTATTTGTTAATTTCAGTAGAAATAATAGCATGATCAACTTGCTTTTTGTTATTGCTAAATAATTTGAAAATTAGATCTGTAGAATATTGAGTCTTGCTTTTAAGATTTATCTCAATAACAGTGAAAATAATATATTTGTTTTTACTATAATGATAATTAACTTCAAATGAGTTGCTCGCAAGTTTTTAGTGAGTTTTTACAAAAAATTTTTATGAAGTTTATAATCATGTGTAATAAACTGATGATATCAGTCACAAAATTTTAAGGTTTATATAGGAATTTGTTAAGGTAATAAATTATTCATTTGAAATTTACATTCTTATGAAATATTATGAAAAACAAAATATATTCATATTGATTACAAGTTCGAATTTTCTAAATTTATAAAAATATTAAGGTATATCATAAAAAAGGTTTCTGTATAGAAAAAGTTGTAGTTTGAAATAAACTTTTCCCTTGCCTGATAATAAATTATTAATGAATAAAATTGGCCCAGAGTTTTTCATAGATGAGAACACAATTGAAAGTTTTTTTCTTAAAAGTCACAATAATAATAGAAACTTTTAACACAAAGAGATGATTTTTTAACAGAAATTTCCATTGTGCCTCATTATCTACATAATAAGTATATGTATCAATGGTGATTTCATTAGCATTCTACTTATTGAAAATTGCTATTCTATAAATTTTTAAATTGTTTTTGCAACATGATCTAAAAAGTTATATCATTATAACTTATGTTCAACTAACTTATTATTCAACATATAATTTTATTTTATTTAATACTTTCAATATAATATTATTTTACTTTATTCTCTATTTCTTCTTCTAGAAATATTTTGCACAATCATCTATCCCAGTTCTTATTGTGGCAACGAAGTCGGATCTAGAAGATATAAGACAAGATTACGTACTACAACCAGATCAGTTTTGCGAAAAGTATAAATTGCTGCCTCCACAAAGATTTGCTTCAGGAAGTAAAAATATAATGGGAGACAGCATTCGTGATGTTTATGTGAAACTAGCTACAATGGCTGCTTTTCCGTAAGTTTCTAGATTATTAATTTAAAAACTTGCACATTGAAAATATTGCATCATCATAAATAGTGCCTTATTATCATTTTTGATTTTCTTCATTTATTTTTTATAATTCATTTTGGCAAATCTTTATTATGAATGTAGGTGCATTCATAAAAGACATTATTGAAGCTGAATTTTGTTACAGAATCTTAACCCTTAATGGTTCATAAGAATTTTATGTTCTTATCTTTAATTACAAACTAAAATGTGCAAACTAACTTTTGAAATGTGAGTTTTATTCAGATTTTAATACTATTGCCTTGCATTCAATAATGAGAAAAACAGCCATTTAAGGATAATGCCTTAGAAAAATTATTTAAAAACCATTTTGCTTTAAGTTTATCACTCAATACTTAACATGTTACTTGTAAATATAGGAACAATAATTGCAATAAAATTAATAAAATAGTTTTAAGACAATGCACCAGTTGGAAACCAGTTAGTAAAAGTATCATGCCGCTTATGTTTCATTAAGGGTTAAATTTGATTATTGATATAGATTTTGTAATATGTACATAGTTTGTGTATTTGTTGAAACACATGTGTAGCTTTGTCTTTTATTATAGCTAAACATCTTCATAGAATTCATACAATTTGGTTCATTTATTTGCTCATCAAAAAATATTATAGATTATATTTGTTCATTAGTAGCCACATTAAGCCATTATTACAGATTTACCTTTTTTACATTTTAAAATTCAAAAATCAACTAAATGATCTACTAATGTTGCAGGTTTTTTTTTGGATAATTGGTATTTAGCCCTACATAATGTATCTATTTATAAATTTGACTGATTCAATTTATTTTTTTATGCGTTAATTTAGTACAACTATTTAGTCTAATTCAGATATCATAAATAAATTTCAGGAGATTTCAGGCTGCTTGGATTTTGTTCTACAAGCACAGGTTCGTACAGTTGTGCCAGCATGCCACGTAAGTGTATACTAATAATACTAATAAAGTTTTTTCATTGCTACCTCATTCATGTTTTGTGAAAGGATTTATTTGTTTATAAACCATTTTGAATCATGTTTCAAGAGTAAGTATATGTACTTTGGAATCATGTTGAATCGCTTCTTTGGTGATGGTATTAATAAAATCTAATATACAACTAACATTCATTGTTTTGTCTTGTCAAAATACCCAATTTATCAAAATCAAATACTAAATGTGTTTTGAAAGTTTAGACTTATCAAAATGCATGAAAAATTATTTTTTTAATCAAATTGCTTTAAATATGGGAATCATGCAAGGGGCAAAACATTTTACCTGGAAAATTTTCTTAAATGCCTATACATCACTAACTTTATTATCTATTGAATTTAAGTAACAACAATATTTTTTTACTAACTCATAAGGTTTAAATAGTATCCTGAACAATTGTGATTGATTTAGTTTCTTTTCTAATTTAGTCATCTCAAATATTTTGGTCTTTCGCCTGATGAACCGTTATTATGGTGGAAAGCTGGACTTGGCCTGGCCGCTGCTAGTGTTTTGGGTTATTTTGTTATGAAAATATTCTCCAGTAATAATACATCAAGCCCTAGGTTTAGGTAAGATTGCACATAATCAGTAGAACTGTAATAAGGATTGTTTTACCTGTTTAGTAAAATTGTTTTAACAAAAATCATATTTCTTATAGAAATGTGCAACCAAATGTAAAATATAAAATGGGTTGCACTCTCACTTATATACTTTAAAATAATATTTTTGCATAATTTTGAAGTTCAAATATGCAATATTGTTTTTTCTTTCAGATAGTTATTAAAACTATAATGGGAAGAAACATAATTAATACAGAAAATCTTATCTAAACGAATATCTCAGAAATGTATTTATAGAAAAAGTGTAATTGCATATACTGAAATGTAGATTCAGTATGAAATCTTGTGAAATATTTCTGAATGAGTGCTATGTATATAGAAATATATTAGTGGAAAGTTGTATTAAAATATGAATCCTGATTTAACAATATATTTTAATAATTGAACCACCGAAATTTGAATATGTTGATGATTTGATTAACCATGAATGAAAATTTTGCTTTGTAGTTTTATAAAGTATAATTTCATAATGAAATCAGCTTTAGCATAAATTAATTGAAAACTTGTGTATGTAAATATAATAAATTGTGATTTTGCTTTTGTAGCAACTCCAAATACATATTTTATAACCAATGATAAGCTTCCAAGCATTTTATCTTTGTATATATATAAAAATTAATTTAATATAAAATTATTCTATAATACTTTATACCCAAAATCACCAAACTTATGAACCTTGTGTGTATGTATTTCCATTTGTATGGGTGTTTACACACTAAGTTAAAAAAATTACTAAAATTTAGATATAAAACCTGGAAAATTTACTCAAAAATGTAATGATAAAAGACTTGTAGAAATAAAAGTATTATTAATCTAAAATTAAATTCTATTTTGTATTCATAATATTAAACTTGAAGAACATGATTCCATAGTATTTCTCTAGGAGCAGTTATATTATATTCATTTATTGTTAGTGTTGTTTAGTAGTTTATTGCTGTTAGTGTTGTGATCATGCATTAAATATAGTAGATAAAAATATTATTTCTAATTATGAATTTGTTAGACTGTTGAATGAGTTTAGTTCTGTATTAAAGGAAGGATTATTTTCATTAACATACAAAAAAGTTTACAAAAATCGTTATTATCTTCTTGAATATTTTAAAATTCCATCATAGATGACAAAAATTTCTTATAAATAAACATAAAATGAGCAACAAATGCTTCTAAGTGAAAAATGTGTTTAGATCCTGTTTGCATCCTATGTTCATAATGTGCAGCTTGTTGTATGACTTCAGCTTTCATTTGCATATCACAATTTTTAACCAATTCTTTAACCAGTCTTTCAAAAATGATAGTTGCAGGGACAGCATGTGCTAAGAGTTCATACAATCTATCCCTTACTTTATCAAGTTTTGCTGGGCTCTGCTCGGCAACGATTAGCTTGGCTGTTTCCTTCAAAAATACTTCCCAATCAGGCTCAGTCACAGACTGATTAGCAGAAAAAGGATACTTCTCTACTCTGCATGCTTCACACATTAAGATTGCTCTTCGTAAGTTGCCATTACATTTTTCTGCAATTCTTTCTGCCAGCTCAATTGGTAATTGAAGGCTTTCTTTCTTTGTCGTATATTTCAATACTGAAACGATTTCTTCTTTTGTAGGTGCTGGTACTCTTATACCAAGGCAACGACTTCTAATAGCAGGGATAACACGTGAGGTAGAATTGACACATAGAATAATGCGGCATGTAGCTACATATTTTTCCATGGTTCTACGTAAAGCATGCTGAGCATCTTTGGTTAAATCATCAACCTCAGTTAGAACTATTACTTTAAAAGGTCTTGTAGAGTCTAGTTGATGTGTTTGCGCAATTTCTTTCACTAAATCAACGACAACAACACGATCATAAATTCCTGCATCAGAAGGAGAAACTTCTATATGATGATTACTTCCAACAGTCATTATATCTACTTTTCTGTTAGAAGGAGTCATGAATTGCATTACTTCGCTTCGTAAGCGTTCTACGCCGGAGCCATATAGTTCTTTGAGTAAGCAATTTATTCGAGTCTTTTTTCCTGATCCAGGGGGGCCGAAAAATAGTAAATGGGGAAAGTCACCTTGATTAGCGATGTTTTTTAATTGTTGGGCTTGCTCTTTGTGATAATCCAATTTCGACAAGTCTCTTGGACGGTGTTTATCAACCCACAAACTCATGGTTATAAACTAATAAGTAAATATAATATTTTGTAGTATTTTTAAGAAGAAATGTTTAGTTGTCATTAATTAATAGTTTTTCAAGCAATAAAATCCCGCCTTTTTGCATTTGACAGTCTGTTGTGACAGTTGTACAATCGTACCAACGTAATGATTTCGAAAACCGTTATTTGAATATTGTTTGAATGTCAAATTTTTAAATTAATTATTATAGTATTTAATATCATTGTTATTAGGAATTATCATCCAATTAAAATCTGATTTAAAAATCACATCTAATTTGTAGTTAAAAAGCTACTATAGTAAAGTCAAGTGTAATTATAATTATAAATAATTTTCAAGTAACTTATTGTCATTAGCTTAAATACATTTGAAATGTTTGATTTCTTTAATGTGAGGCTTATAACAACAACCTGTACCACAGATATGGAAATGATATAGATAAATTAAAAACATTCTTATGGACAAGAAACAAACAAACAAACAAAGAAACAAATATATTTTATTAAAATTAATGATTAAACTAATTATAAATTTATTTCGCGCCTAATCTTTTTTTAGAGGTAAATGTTCGTCCAAGCGAATCGGGCAAATGCCGAACAGAGCCGATCATCATTTTTAGCATTGATAATGTTGCCAGCACCCGCGCCATTTGTAATCATATGTCACCTACACTCATGCACACTTCAAGTCTCTCGAGCACAAAAACGATGTCATTCGTGTACAGGTGATAGTGCAATGTTAACAATTTTGATTATTGTAAATAAAATCTAATCATGTAGTTATAAAAGATAAATAATGTAATTAAAATGTTTATAAAGACAACAAAATTAATATGTGATAAATTAATTCCACGTGATTTCTGCAAGAATATAGCAATTTATAATTTTGTGATCGTAATTAGGACAAGTGTTATGCACATTTGAAAGGCGATATTAAAATGCCTTAACGCGTAGTTGTAAAAGTGATTTAATTATAATGTGAACATAAATAATGACATGTACACATACACGGCGAAAAAATATGTGAAATTATACATTGTATAGCGCTCAACAATATCTTCGACAATATGAATATTTAAGTGCCTTTGACGTATGTAGTTAAAATAAATTAATTTAGTAACGTGGCCAGTCTCTACGCGTCAGTGTATTAATATATTTAAGTAAAGATAATAATTAGATTTAACAAACTAACAATAAAAATCTGTCTCGAGAGCTAATATATGCAAAACAGCTGAGCACATACACAGATATATTTTGTAGTAAATATTTACATAACGAGATAACGTGCACCAGCAAATCAGATTCGGGACATACTGTGATAAATTTTAATAAATAAATATCTTTATTAGTGCAATATTAAACATAAATATTTTTAGAAGATCTTGAAGAAATTTTCTTATAAATTACTTTTGAACATGTGATACTACTAATTAGTTAGGATTACTTCAACTTGCGGGATAGAAGCTATATTCATGGTTTACATGGTAAGTAATTATTATAAGTTTCTAGCATAATAAATAAACAGTCACATGATGTTATATATTCATTTTGCAATGTTTACCTTATACTAATAATCAGAATTCCGCAGAAATGCGACATTTCATTTATAAATCAATTAGATTCCAATTCATTCTAGTTAGCATCTTATTAGATTTACAGTGTACGAACGAACTGTAATGCATTTGAATCCAATAAGAAGATGCTTAGATTCTTTAATTTATTTTTGAATAAAACATAATGAAATGAATATATAAATACTATTGCAAAACACAATTAAATTTTAAACATCATCCTTTTTTACATTTGCTTATTGCACTTTATTTGTTTATTGTCTATTGCGCGATTGAAGTAAAACTTATTAGCTACTGTACAAGATGGCATTTAAGTAAAAATTGATACATCATTTTGAATAATGTTTATTAGTAATATGTTAACCATCGTAATGCACACATTTATTAGTGTCAACCATTATACACATTTACATAATGATAAATTATAAGTTATATATTTATAATAGCATTGCAAATTTGTATAATATTTAAAAACAATAATGCAATTAAAGTCATACTTCAAATATGACATGATCGGTTTGTCATTGTAATTAGCATTTAGAAATGAACTTTCATTAGAAAAATGAAGTAATTGCTGATTAATAAATTCTATAATATTCGTTCACACAGTGGATTATGTTAAACAACGCCTAAACAAATATTGTTTTCGCAACTTCACTCATCATGTAATAATTGTGTTTGAAGAACTTCATGTAATTTAAAATTAACATACATTCATTGACTGTTTGTATTTTTTTACTTTTTCGCTGGCGATATAGTCTCATTCTTTGAACAGCTGTAATATCTGTCTTGTCTAAAAATAATTTTCCATTTTAATAACTTCAAAGATTTATAGAAACTACGGATAATATAGAAAACATTTCTAATCAATAAACTTACGTTTAGTACACGGCCCAAATGATTAATTTCGAACAGGGTAAAATATTCTTCTGATTCAGACATTTTTCGTTAAATCAAGATTTGTACTACGATGTAACTTTAAAATGTTTATTTATCTAAGCCGATTTCCTTGTTGATATCTATACGCAAACAACGTTGATGCCGGTACACATACAACGACAGATCACTATTCACATACACGACGACTAATCACAATAGACCTGTATTGAAATGATATCATCGAGAGCGAATGACGAATCATTGGCACTCGACGCGGCCGTAACGCACTTTCGTTGCATTTGTACGGATTTACACCCTAGTCGCGCTTAAAGAAGTTTTACCTCAAAAACTTGTTGCGCCTCCCTTATTTCTTTCAATTTATTTTAATTTTGTAAATACTCAACTGATATTATCCGACTACAAATTAATATTCAATATTATGTAAAGGTAACTGTAAAAATTAATTATTTTTTGTTTATTTTAAAAGCCTGGCATTCCTCTGAGGGGGCGCGCCCCACAGGTTGGAAACCGTTGCTTTAATGTATTTATTATAACAATAAATAAGAAACTAGGAAAATGCATTAAGATTGGAATAATTTTCCTATAACTATTTATTATCATTTTATAATTACACTTTATACGCTTTTTTAATATATTTTCTTTTAATTGGTTTCGCTAATTAAGGGGGTTTTATATTCAATTAAAACCAAAATCTGCCAAAATCAATCTTTTAGTTACAATTTTTTTATACAAAAAGTCATAGCATATTTAGTTTTTCTTGGAACTAATTTGCTCCAAAAATAATACATCAATAATTATACCAGCAAAAGGATTTAGGATTTATTACTTTATTTCATCACAATTTTTTTCTCTAATTAGTATACCATACTGTATATAATACTAGGAAAATAAAAGATTGTGGATATCCATAAACAAATAATATTGATTTTCATATTATATTAAATGTTATTTACTATTCTGTAATCACAAATATAATACAATTACAGTTCATTACATTTTAAATGGAACGACTATTTGCATTTGTATCAGTTTTAATTACATATTGAGGATATTAATGAAATTACACCTGCATTTTTCTTAAAGATGTTTAATATAACTACAAATTGTATTTGTTTTTACAATAATTTTAGAAGTTTAATTTATTGTATTGATTGATTTAAATTTGTGTTGATTTTTTATTAGATTTTTTTGTTTTTAATATCATAAATCGGATGCTTTGATTTGGCGTGAACAGGAATCATAAATCTCTATGAGGGCCCTTGGTTTTCTTGGTGATTAAGAATTAACTTTATTTTTAAGGAATTTTGTGCTTTATGGAAGCTTTGAATTTGCTTTGAAAATCTTATTGGTCAATAATTAAATGAAATGAAATTATCCTGAAAATTGAAATCATTATGAAAGAAAAACTTTACATGAATAGCATTAAGCTGACTTGTATAATGGAAAATATTTTTAAAATAATTTTTATTAAAAAAATCTTTGTTTTGCTTATAACCCTTTTAGTCAGTATGAGTTTTTATTGGTTCTGTTATAATCTAAAATTTAATAAAAGTTTTTTTTTCTTTGCCCAAAAGATACATATTTTGCATTCTAAAACAAATTCTAAAATGCTAATAGCTATTTTCTTCCGCATGTCTATGAACATTCTATTTCTTGATGTTTTAGTTGAGTTTTTGTTAAAACCTGTCTCAAGGCACATTCATTGCATTTCATATATTTTTATATTATTTCTATATGTATTCTTTTTATTAAGTTTTATAGAAAAACTATAGATAAATAGGAAAGGAATTTATTAATGAGATAGTAAAAACACTGCCCGTTAAAAAATACAAGAGAACCAGAATAAAATGTTTACTTTACATTTATATTATTCAATCTTGCAATTTTTGATAATGTAATAAATTTTTGCTTTCTTGGTTTTTGCCCTGTAAGAGAAGAACGTTTTAAAGAAGAATTAATTTTCAAACAAAGAAATAATTCATTCAAACATTTCAAAAAAAAAAAAAATACAAAGAAGTAATTCAAGCGCATGTGCTATTTTTCTACACGAGCATGAAAATGATCAACGCTCTTTTTTATTATTATTAATATTTATTACAGATTACAAAGATTTGTATTTTACATTTCCGTATCTTCATCCCTCTTCAGCCTCAAGTTTCTTGCAATTATTGTGGTTTCTTCTATTTCTTCTAGAAAATTGGAAACCAAAATAAAAGGGTTTTTTTGTTTTTGAAGTAAAACTTCTTTAGACGCGACTAGGGAGTAAATCTGTGCAAATGCAACGGGAGAGCGTTACGCTCGAAATGAGTGCCAATGATACGGGACGATTGTGATTGGTCGTCGTGTCACGTGAGAGGGTTCTTTGATTGTATGTGTATGTGTATACGTAGTATGTCCCCGAATGCGAAAACCATATTGTTCGGAATGTCATTAGATTTTAAGGTTACGATCTAGTAGAAATATTGTTTTGAATATCTTCAAATATCTCTTTAATCTCTTTCGTCTTCGACTATAATATTTTTTTATTTTTCTTTTGATGTTATTGTCATCATTGGTCATCTTAATATTGGGTTAACAATGTTTTTTTAAGCCAAATATCAAAAGTTTGCCAATATCTTCCGTTAGTTCATTGCAAATTGTTTCTTATTAACTTCCCGTAGGGCAAGTTATAGTAATCGCAAAAAAATCAAAAATGAAAATTTTTATATATCTTTACGTTTCAGAGGTTTCTGAACATTTTTGCATACCTTAGAAAAAATGGATGTATGTGTGTGTGTGTGTATGTGTGTGTGTATGTGTGTGTGTATGTGTGTGTGTATGTATGTACGTGTGTGTATGTATGTGCGGATACAAATTTTCGTCGACGATTTCGGGAACACGAATCAACCGATTTGAATAATTCAAAAAACATTCGATTCGTATTGATAAGGAAACGTGCTGATTAGTTTTTGGCGAAGGCAGGTCTAGCCGTTTCTAAGATACGGGGCAAAAAGTGCCGAAAACGGTAACTCAGTTTTTAAGAGAACGGAGCGTCCGATTTGAATAATTCAAAAAACATTTTACTTGTATTGACAAGATGAAACATCCGTAAAATTTTTATGGAGGTCTAGCGGTTTCGGAGATATGAAAGAAAAAGTAAAAAAATGAGCCATTTGGCGGTCAAAAATGATCATTAGACATATGCACATCAAATTATCAGATATTTTATAGAGATTTTAACAATAAGCATACATTTTGTTAACATTCCTATGGGTTCCGTACCAATGCTTATGCCTTAGACAGCGACGCGGGGCTTACGCGCTTTATATTTTGTCTCTACGCAGTTAAAGCAGTACGATTGCTTTGAAAAGAAAGTTCAGATCTTGCACAATATGTCAAAATAAAGAAAAAAATTTTTTTTTTTTAAAAAAAATTTTTTTTTTCGAAAAAAAAGTAATTTTTTGTCCAATTTATAGTTTCTCAAAAATCTTATTTTTTCAAAGTAAATTTTCTTCAAAAATGTTAATCGTTTTTAAAAAAAAATAATAATTTTTGGTACGGGAAGTTCCAGCAATTTGCCTTAAGGCACGATGCCTTAATTGCCTTAAGACAGAATTCCACTTACAGCTAGTCATTGATTAAGTCGATCATTAACTTCCCGTAGGGCAAGTTATAGTAATCGCAAAAAAATCAAAAATGAAAATTTTTATATATCTTTACGTTTCAGAGGTTTCTGAATATTTTGGCATACCTTAAAAAAAATGGATGTATGTGTGTGTATGTATGTACGTGTGTGTATGTATGTGCGGATACAAATTTTCGTCGACGATTTCGGGAACACGGATCAACCGATTTGAATAATTCAAAAAACATTCGATTCGTATTGATAAGGAGACGTGCTGATTAGTTTTTGGCGAAGGCAGGTCTAGCCGTTCCGAAGATACGGGGCAAAAAGTGCCGAAAACGGTAACTCAGTTTTTAAATGAACGGAGCGTCCGATTTGAATAATTCAAAAAACATTTCACTTGTATTGA